TCTCCGCTTTGGCCTTCATTCAGGAGAATCTCACCCACTTTCACATGAATCATGGAAAGTTGAGCGCTGTGGGACTCCCCCACTGTTCACAGAGTTCCTAGCTCCTGGTTCTGAGTCCGCAGCCTGAGACCGATTCCTCAGTGACTCAAGTGCCAGGATTTCCACCACTTCCTATGGTGAAGAAGTGGGTTTTTTGGTTGCTTTATTCTGTTTCATTGCTCCCAATTATGGTGGCTTAGGCCACCCTTAGAGAACTGCTTCCTCCAGACTCCTCTGGCTGTTCAATAAACACACAGACTCCACAACAGGAAGTTATCTGATCCCTAGTTTAGCCATCTTGTAGCCAAACTAAGCACATCTGAATTTCTCTATTGTTTCTGAGAAGATAATTTCTCAGTCTCTGCAGAATTAGTTACAGGTCATCAAAGGAAATTCACTCATAGGGTCCTAATTAATTTCTCATGCTCAGAGCACCTTATTAGGCTACCTGAAAAAGCAAGGCAAAGCAAGGCAGTCTCAGGGTTATTTATTTATTTATTTATTTTTACTCTGTTCTGTCCTCTCCTCTTCTCTTCTCTCACCCTCTGTCTCTGTCTGTCTTGTATTCTTTCTTTCTTTGTGGGAAGTAAATGTAAAAGGGAAGCAAGAAGCCAATAAAGATTTAAGTGGATGGAGACTGTGTCATCTCCATCCACTCCTCCCCTCCCCGACACCAGTTGGTCATTTATAGCTAGGCTCACCAGCAACTGTGATCCTCAGGGTCGAGTCTGCTAACCATAATACATTTTCTATGAGCAAATAGAAATTAATGCAGATACAGAATAGCCAATGGTTGGGGGGGGGGCTGCTTTGGAGATAGGAGCTGTCATGTGATTCAGGTTATGTGGGAAGAAAAGGAAAAACAGTTGTCAGTGTGGCAGTGTGGAAGGGGAACAAGCAGGTCTGTCCATGAGGATAGAAAGAAGACTAGAAAAGGGATGACCAAGACCTGTGGGAGGCTCCAAGCCTCGAACCCATTTCTCCTAATAGTTGCTTCTTTTCAGAGGCAACTTGTGTACCTCCTATACCTTCTCATTTTCCCAGATCATCACTGTGTAAGCACAGCAGGTAGGTGAGGATTCTGCTCTGTTCACATTCCTGCGGGTGCAGAAATGTGTTCCTGGCATCCCCCATGGAGCCAGTGCATGTTTTACCCCTTCAGAACAGTGTAAATTCATCACCTCCAGTGGCCTGGGCCACCAGTAACCTTGTTGTGAGAGTCTCCAACAATGAATGCCACACTCTGGGACCCCTGTGCACCACAGAGTTCCAATGGTATTGTTCTCTGCTTCCTGGTTCAAGTTACCCAACCTTGGTGATGGAATGCTTTCCACTGTAGAGTGCCACAAGAAGCATTTTAGAGAGGCATGGAGAAGAAATATGTTATTCTTTTAGTGAAACATACAGAGAGGGCGGGGGTAGCATAACCTCCAATGACCTACATGCTCAGAAATGGTCTTTCGTGCCATAGGATAAAGCAAGATCCACAGTGGAGCAGAGAATGAGTCTCCCCTCAAGTTACTCTAATGGATGTGTAGAAGTCTCAAGAGCAGGATCTTCTGTTATTTATACCCATTCTACTCCTCTGTTTGGTGGATTCCCAGACATCCATTCTTTTTTTCCCCCATAAAGACTGCAAGGGTTGCCTCCTCTGGATTGAGGGTTTATCTGATGGGGGTGAGGAGCAGGATCTCTAATATAGATATTGGGTAATAGGAATAATCCAGAACAGGAATTTAAGAAGAGAGTTCATTTTGTTTCCAAATGTATTGGGAGAGGACCATTAAAATAATGGAAGCCCCTCGAAGCTGACAATGGATGATACTGATAAAACCTGACAAATCCGGGGCAGTGAAAAGATGAAGTTACATGCATTATGCAATAGTTACAGCTTCACAGCCTCTACTTCTGGCTGGACACAGCAGTCAGAAGCAGGGAGAATTGTTTTGTGCAATAATAACACTTGCTAATCCAAGACACATGACTCCGGTCCATGGTGAAAAGACACGGCACCATCACTGAAATCTAAGATGAAAGACAGTTGCCTCTTAACTTGGTTCCTCCACCCAGTCCTCTGGCTGCAACAGGCAGAGAATCTAATAATCAGGTGGGGATGTGGCTTAGATCAAAAGTGAGATCCAGTGGCCAGGAACTCACCCGCCCTGTGCATATGGAGGATGCACACCATGGAGGTGGGGTGAGAGGGGCCTTCCCAGTGGAGACTGAGCGGCAGTGAAAGGGAGTGGACTCCACCTGAGGGCTACAGAGCCATCCAAGGAGACAGAAAGTGCTGCTGAAATCCAAGGACCTGTCAGGGAAGGAGCTCACAATGGTTTCCCTTACGTGGCCTCACTTGGTGTATTATATTCCATTCTTGGCCACTCATGACTTTCACTCTTAGGAGGAGGATATTTGTAAAATTACAAACAAAAGGGATAAAAGAGTTGTTTAAAGAGCCCAAGGAGGATTAAACACAAGACCTCATTACATAACATTTGTGATTTCCCTCAATCAGCCTATTTTTTTAACCAGGAAGGGCAAGGTCAGGATCCAGTGAGGTATGAACGTGTGGGTATTAGGAGAATGGGCTGAGATGAGTCACCTTTCTCCTGGTCATCCCTGAGGGTGTGTCTGTAGCCTCCCCACTCCAGGAGCAAGGTTAGGCAAAATGTCAATTTCTAAGAGGACTAAAATGACTTTATACACACTGCTTCATGAACCAGCTCGCTGATATTTTATTCCTTGCACTTAATGTGGGGCAACCTGGTGTTATGTAACTGAGTTGGGTTGGCAACATCTACTCAGCTTCAGGTATGGATGATGATGACAATAATAACAATAATAATGACGACCACAACCAAAGCAAACCCATTATCGGTACCGGCCACGTGCCAGACCACATGCTAGGTATGCAATCTAATTTTTTAAAATATTTTTTTTTAGTTGTAGATGGACACAATATCTTTATTTTATTACTTTTTATGTGGTGCTGAGGATAGAACCCATTGCCTCATGCATGCAAGGCAAACGTTCTACCACTGAGCTACAACCCCAGCCCATATGCAATCTAATTTAATCATTACTCTTCCCTGCATGATCGGCATTGCAGCATCTGCTTTATACACGAGGAAACTGAGGCATGTCAAATAACTTTATACAATTCTAATTCTTTCTCCTCAAAACCCTCTTCTTACTGTGGAAGTCAAGCAGAAAATTGTGGAGGTGTGCAAGAACCTGAGAAGAGCAAAAATGAATTTGAACAAATGGAGAGATTACTCACAGCAGGCGCAAAGGCTCCAAGCTCTCCCTTGAGGCAGCAGGATAAACTTCATTATTTTTTATCATTCCCAGTTAAATTGAATGCATGCCTAAAAAAATAGCCCGGTTGCAGGAGAGTGCCCAGATGGGAAAAGGGTTGTTAGAGAGGGCTGGGGAGGATGGCTGGGGAGGGTGATGGAAGCTGGTGTCTGCCTGTCATCCTTTGCCTGCAGAGGATGCAGAGGACCCTGGTGTACATGAGATCATGCTAGATTTTGAATGCCTCATGAGGAAAGTGAGAGGAGATAAAAGATATTTGAAGTGTTAGAACAATGATAGTATCCGTGCTGTCTAATAAATACCTGGTGTGGCATGAAAGTGGCACAAGCACCCTCAAAGCGTCAATTAAATTAGGTGGAGTGAGAAAGAGAAGTGGGGCAATTGCAGGCTGTGCACACTCGTCTTGTGGTGGGGACATCCACGTACCCTCTCTGCCTAGGGTGTGAATAACCTCCAGCCGTTTCCTTTTGATGTCCCTCTGAGCCTGCACTGCATCATAACTGTCCTGGGCATGACAAAGCACCCCTGCAGCTGACATAAATCAGAATAGCCACCGCCATGTGCACCCTGCCCACTCTTTTGGTTCCTAGGTTTTATGACCAGTGGGCTCCCTTCTTCTCTGCTGAGATTATGGCTGAAAGCTTTTGTTAACACATGCACATTCTTAATCTGTATTAGATCCCAGGTCTCCCACCCCGTGATTTATGCATTTGCCTGTCTTCTGTGTTGAGTTCCGAAGAATTGGAATTTGTGTAAAGGTTACGCAGGAGTAGAAAGCACATCTGGAGCTGTCTCAAGCTGCACACTTTTAAAGGCCCCAGAGCTGTCATCTTGAGCTGTAGGAAATATAACACTGGCCCAGATGAACAGCAGTGCCCCTGTCACGAGGTACACACAGGCCAAAGCTCAGGGGTGGCAATGCTAGCCTGAAATGTTCAATCAGTAGGTGATCAGACCATTAAACTATAATTAGGTGTTATAATTATTGAATACCAAAAGGCATTATAATAATATAAGTTGTATCTTCCCATTTTATATCTCATCTGGGATCAGATTAGTAGCATATTCAATATAAGGACTTTGAGTAATAGCTGCTGGTCTGCAGGAGGCATCACTTTGATGAAAGTTGCTAGATGAGCTGTTTGATGGAAGCCCAGACACTTCTCTGGTGGAAAATGGAAATTGACCTGATGATGTTGCAGGGAGACCTGGAAATTTCAAAGGCCTACCAACAAAACAAAACATCCAAAAAGTCCAATAAAATAAACAGTCTCTCAATCTCCCAAAACAAAAACAAACAAAGCCTTACTTTTGGTCTCTAAAACACAAAATGAAATGTAAACAGTTGTCATAAAACATTCTATTTTTAGAAACAGGCTGTATTAGAGAAATGAGTATATAAATTCCTGAGAAAAAAACCCAGAATTATGCTTACATTTGGGTGCATATGAGTGGATGAACAGGTAAAGTAGGCATATTGGGAACCAGGTTGATAAGGTGTTTTCAGGATTTATGATGAAACGGTGATGGTTTATGGCAGCTTTTCCCCATTTTAGCAGAGAAGCCCACACATGTGGAAAAACTGAATTTTCTTATCGACTCTGACAGTAACCTTTTTGTCCCTTTTGTTTTTTTCTTTTCAGAACTCTCTTCGCTCACAAATCACCAGAAAAGCCAAAATGTTGGTGTTACTGGCTGGTATCTTTGTGGTCCACATCGCCACTGTCATTATGTTGTTTGTTTCCACCATTGCCAATGTGAGTCATGTTCTTTTGTTCATTCATTCATCGAGGAATTATTTGAATATTTACATAAAGTGCTACAAAAGAAATTTAAGCCATAATGCCTGCCCTTTATGAACTTCCAGCTTAGTTGAAGAAATAAAATAAACACACCCTCACACTTCAAATAATTCAATAGCTAAAGGCCACCAGTCACTAGGCTGCATGAGTGATCCCGCCAGGGCTGTTGGTGTGGAGGCAGGAGGATGTAAGGAGCTTCCTCGGGCTTTAGGGGAACCTTCCTCTCAGCAGAGGCCCCCTGTGCCATGCACTTGGAGAACTGAGAGATGAGTGGGGTTTCTCCAGGGAAAAATGGACAGTGCAAGGACCCAGGGATGCATTTGAGGCAGGAGTGCTAGGAAAGGTGTGTCCCTAGGAAGAATGTGCTTTGTTCTGAGGATCAGGACACCCATCTGGCTGGAGCAGACCTTCCCACCCTTCTGGGAACCTTGATTGCAAGAGGGCATGGAAGTGAGATGATAGGAACTCTTGCCAGACTGATGAATTCAAGTTTTGGGTAGAGAGTAGCGTGTGAAATGGAATTTTGCACCATTTACATGGTGACCCTGAATTAACTTGGTCACACATAAAATTATCAAGCTAAGGTGGTGTCTTTTCTCTCTCTCCGAACCTTGGGCTACTCTGCCCTCTAGTGGTCATTTTTAGCACTAAATTTACTTTTATTGTGCTTGTCTCAAACAAGACAGTTGGATTTACACACAAAGGCAATCAATCTGCGAATGATGGTTCCAGAATCTGTTTAAGTCTCAGCTACAGTTAAGGAATAATTAGGTTTTAAAAGTTACAGAGAAGAGCTTTGCAAATGTTGGTAGGTGTGAGTATAAGCAAAGCTAACTTAATCATAACTGTGGTAAGCCAACCCCCCACTCATTCTGCCTCTTTCAGATTTTGTCATCTGCATGCCAGCCCCTACATCTCTCAGGATAAGAAGTCTGATAAACTTCAAAGCATGTTAAGGGATGCCCACGTGTTTCATATCTGGGCCTTAAGATAGGGCTTGGCACACAGGAGCTTATGGAGAGCTTATGGAGGCACATCCTTGGTTTTGCTTTTCCAGTATATGGATGTTTTATGTGCTTGTAGACAGGATTCTGCATTGCTTTTCTTTTTTTAAATATATACTTTTTTAGTTGTAGACAGACACAATACTTTTGTTTTATTTATTTATTTACTTTTATATGATGCTCAGGATCAAACCCAGTGCCTCACATGTGCTAGGCAATCACTCTACCACGGAGCTCCAACCCCAGCCCTCTGCATTGGTTTTCTATTTCAGAAGGGTCACTGTTTTTCTTGGGCTGGGCAGGAAGGGATGCTGGTACCATGGTGAATTGGGGGGAGATATTCTAGTCCCTCTTCTGTTTTTATCTGCCCCCACAATAAAGCTCTTGCTGCATTATTTTACTTTGTATTTACTTTGCAAGTTGTGAAAGTTGAAGTTGGAACCTTCTGTATAAGTGAAAATGGCATATTGACCACCCAGATTCATTATTATTTTCCCAGGAGCGCCCCCTGTTTCTTAGTTGTCTTCAGTCAGACATTTTTTTTTTTCTTAACCCTTGAGTTTCTTGTGAGCCAGACCCTTAAAAGACAATCTTGAGAGAGTGGATAAATTGTGCATACTTAATACCAGTTTCCTCATCTAGGGTTTTTGTTTCTGAGAACCTTAGAATGTTAAACTACTATGAGTGAAATTATTTACATTTAATTTTTTTTCAAGCCACAAGGAATGTAAAGTCCAAAGAGACTAGAGGACCTTTTTCTGGCTCATGCATTCTCTCTCTCTCTTATCTCTTGGAGCTTTTGTAACTTCAGGCAACTTTAATTGGACCTTATTTCCACCAAGAGGTAGTCTGCTTAGCTGTATTTATGGCTACAGAGGGGGTGTCTTGATTAAGATTTGGTTGTGATGTAAGTTGATTTGTTATTTTATTTTCTCTTTTTTTAAAGTAGAGGATCAGTTTTTAATCACCTTTTTGCTTCTTTCTGGTTTCAGGTTTGGGTGGTTTCAGATGATATTACATCATCCGTAGGTCTTTGGAAGAACTGTACCGGGGGTAACTGTGGCCAAGAACTTATGTATAGCAATGATGGTATGTAGAAAGATGTCAATCCACTGCCAACAATGGGTGTGGTCAGGGGAATGCCCAGTGTCTCGAGTGGCCTAATGCCCTTGCTCTCCCCACCCTGTGTCTGCAGATGCCCTCAAGGCTGTGCAGGCCTTCATGATCCTCTCCATCATCTTCTCTGTCATCTCCCTCCTGGTCTTCGTGTTCCAGCTCTTCACCATGGAGAAGGGAAACCGGTTCTTCCTCTCAGGCGCCACCATGCTGGTGTGCTGTGAGTATCTTGGGGGCAGACTCTGGTTTATGTGGGAAGCGTTTTTAAGTGAATCTTCCTGTGGGTTCTTCTGGATACTTCAACAGATTAACATATGGCTCTATGATATTGCCTTCTACATTTTTCTCCTTGGATTGCTTAGATTGAGAACTCCTCATCTGCTATACTGTTCAAAAAACCAGTGTTCCTGGCAGCTACCGAAGTTGGGGCATGCCTATCAGTAGTGCTTGCATAGGGGACTTTTGAAGAAGGTGGGAAGGTGGGAATCCTAGGAAGATGCAACTTCTGCAACCATGCAAGCAATTATTGCAGTTCTCAGTCTTCTCTCATCCCGAGTACACTCAGTTTGATGGAAGTCCATGTCCTTTTGTACCTCTGAACAGTCTGCCTAGACAGGGGGGTTCAGACAGGAAAGCCAGGTGTTGGTAGTATTCAATGTTTTGCTTCACACTTGCAGCCTCACAAACTGGAGTAGATGTGAGAGCCCACCCATCTCTATTTTATCAACACCATCACCAAGCTTAGTCCACAGCAAACCAAAAGCACTACTGTTCAGAGACAACCAGTGTTTACTTTTCCATTGCTATGAAGGAAATAGGATTAAAAAATTATATATATATATATATATATATATATATATATATATATATATATATAAATAGGTAGATAGATACATCTACCTATATATAATCTTTCCTTATTATTAATTATAAAACCCATTTTTCTTGGTTAAAACAAGAATAATAACAACACTTTGTCTTCCGGCAGGGCTGTGCATTATGGTCGGAGTGTCCATCTACACTCATCATTATGCCAATAGCAATAGGAACTTTTTCTCGAACAGCCACCACGGCTACTGCTTCATCCTGACCTGGATCTGCTTCTGCTTCAGCTTCATCATTGGCATTCTCTATCTTGTCCTGAGAAAGAAATAAAGCTGAACAAGTGTATGGGGACCTGGGGGGGTGGGAGGAGGAAGCAGTTGAATCTGGGAGGGAAGTGGAAGTCATTGGGCCAGAAAAACCAAGAGAGGGGAGGGAATGGGGAAGGGGAAGGAAGGGTGGGAGAGGTCTAAGCTCAAACTATTACTGGGAAGATTCTCTATGGTCTAGCCCCTGCCCTTGGGAGAAAGTCAATGACTTGTACTTTGATGCTCCCTGATAGGGGCCAGAGGGCCTCCCTCCAGCCACCAGACTTGGCCTCCAGCTTGGCCTCAGTTACACGCACTTCCTGAGATCCCATCAGCTGCCATTCTATTGGCTCCACTTCTGAGGGTGAATCTGGGTCACACACTGGAGATCTTGCAGACCTACTGCACCAAAGCGGTACAAGTTCTGGCTGGAGCAGATACTCTCTCTGTGCTGACTGTCTAAGTCTGGAAACCACCCTGCCCTCTGACCCAAAGCAAATTATCACTTTACCATATGAAGTGCCTACAGGAAGGCTTTGGCCCGCGAACCATTGTCCCTCTTTTGTGGAGATGCTTAGCTCCATAGAATTGGGTGGCATTTGTGACAATAGCAGAGAAGAGAGATAGTTTATAGGGCCAAGTTGGTGGGTTGGCTAAATCAGGGGCGGGGCGGGGAAGAAAAAAGCTTTTCACCATGGAAGGCCTGGGGGATGGGCAGAGCCCAGGCCAGACCTCTTACATTCTGTCCCTCATGGAGACCTCTTCCCACAGACTCTGCTAGGCTCTCATTTAAAGCGAAGGCAGCTCTTCTGGAGTTTCTCTAGAGCAATCAATGAACAATTCAGTAGTGAAAGCCCCACGCGGATTGTGGGATCAAGGGACACTCTTGCCACAGTGCTATGCCAGGGTTATGTTTTTAGGATTCCCCTCAATGCAGTCCTAACAGGAGAGAAATGGGCATGATTTCATGTAATACACTCCTGTTATTCTTTTTCTAAATTATGAACTCTGGAGGAAGTTTTGTCTAATTATCCATACTGGGGGGTCAGGGCTTCAAGGTCAGGGGTCACTCTAGCTTTGGCTGGAATGGTCACCTCTCAGAGGCCCTGCCCATCCCACTTCCCAGGTGAGGCATAGCAATTCTGGGAGCAAATTCACACACACACACATACACACACACACACACACACACACACACACACCAAAACCAAACAACAGGTCCTTGGGTGAAAGGTGCTATATAATTGCAAAGTATTAATCATACTATATTTTAGTCATAATAAGAACAGAGTGCCTGCTCCCAGGAAAATAAAAATCCCATGAGATAAATAAAAATACAGGTGATGGGAAGATACTTTCTTAAAGAACAAAAACTCTTGGGGTACCCAGTCAGATGGTAACCAAGCTATCTGCAGCCACAGGAGCGTTTCTATATAGGATTTAGAAGTAGTATGTTATTCCTGGTTCAGCAGGCAGTGCTCTGCCCTAGAGCAGCTACTTTAAGCCATCTCAGATTCTACCTAGAGGAGTTTTTTTTTCTTTTGGAAGACTTTTCCTTTATTGCCCTTAGAGGAAGATCTACCCCAGGAAGAGTCTGAGACATCTTGCCCCCTTTCTTTCTTCTAGCTTTCTCCTCATCCATTTCTTATATAACTTTCCTTTTTTAGGGATTTGTTATGCCATAATTGCTGGTATTTATGTAAAGGGACTATTACTAAGTATATTTCTCTATGTTTATTCTAGTTAAGGGAATGTGGAAGGCAGACCACCATGTTATACCTGGACTGAGAGTAGAGACATTGGCCAGAAAAAAAAATCTGTGGAATAATGAACTTTTGAATTATGATTTGATTATCACATAATTGTAGAGGGCTGTCTTAAGTGCAGAATCATACCTACATATCAGATCTACCCCAAAGACATCTTTCATTTTGTTAAAAAGTTGAACTATGACTGGAGCAAACCATGTATTCCCTTGTCTTTTACTTTTTTTCTGTGACATTTATGTCTCATGTAATTTGCATTACATTGGTGGGTTGTTCTAGTACTGTATTTGGCTTCTTCATTCATAGATTATTTCATATGCTATAATTGTAAATATTTTGATACAAATGTTTATAACTCTAGGGATATAAAAATAGATTCTGATTCCCTTCACTGTGTGAATGTTTTCTTTCAAAAAATGTGGGAAAATATGAGTCATAGTGATATCCCTCATTAAATTGCCTATCAGTTTGATTTGAGACATTAAGCTGCCTTCTGGTAATACCATAAGTATTCCTGCAATAACTCTTTCAGGCAAATGAATGTTATTAAGTATAGTTTTGTCTTGCTTTAATTAAAACTCTTAGGCAAAAAAAATGGAATTTCATAAGCTAATACACTAGAGAGAGGTTATGAACTTCAATCAAAATGGCTTGTGACATTAAGAAATGAGACACTTGGAAAGTTTCCTTGAAATAATCAGTTCCTCTAATGTGTTTCCAAAACATAAAGGATTCACAAAGGTACGCATCACACGTATTTGCAGAAGCCCATTCATTGTATCACCTGGGGCAACCCTGGGTAGCTCTGTGAGTGAAGGCAAGCTTAACGGCCTTCCTTCCATGAGCCATAAGGACTGGTATCAACCGTGGGAGAGCAGGGTGTATACTGTGTATCCCAGTGTCAAGTCAACACCAATATGATGAGCAATCTTCCAGTCCCCTCAGGGCTTGGATGAAAACACTGCACAGAAAAAAGCATCCAAAGCATACAATGGATCCTGAAAATAAAATTTCAACATTTTAAATTGATCAAATTGCATTGATTCTCGGTGCCTTTTCAGAGGTCCATAGATTGTTTTTAGGACACCATCTTAAGAGGTCTGTGTCCCTCCCTCACTTCTTACAGGGTTGCTTTCCTTTGTGTTGTACCCCAGCCCTTCAGTCAAAGATCCAACCTCTTGGCCATCCCTCCATCTCCTGCCCCTGAGAAATTTTTACTTAGGACCTGCAGAAACTCCCTGCTCTACTCAAGTTATCCCCTGCAAGAGGGTATTTCCCCTAATACCCCCTAAACAACAACAACAACAACAACAACAAGAAAACCTCTGCATACTGGTTGGGGGATGTAGTTGTCAGGATTTCCAGAGACATAGAACCAACAAGATATGTAGAGAAAGTGGGACCCCCAATGCCTGCCCTGGGATTGGTTGAACCCAGAGGCATTTTCCCACTGAGCCATATTCCCAGTCCCTTTTATTTTTTATTATGAGATAGGGTCTTGCTAAGTTATTAAGGCTGGCCTCAAACTTGTGGTCTTCCCGCCTCCGTCTCCCAAATTGCTGGAATTACAGAGTGCTGCTACCATGCCCAGCTTACAAAGAGATTTATTTTAAGGACTTGGGTCATGGGGTTATGGGAGGCAGGCAAGCATCAAATCATCAGGGTGGTCTGTTAGGCTAAAGACCCAAGCAAGAGACATGGCAGTGGTTCCAACTGGAAGGCGGTCAGCTGAGCATTCCCTTTTACTAGGGGAGGCCAGTCTTTTGTTCTACTCAAGACTTCAACTGATTGGATGTGGCCCACTCCCATTATGGAAGGCAATCTGCTTTATTCAAAGTTCACTGATTTACATGATAATCTCCAAAACCACTTTCAGAGACATCTCACAATAATGTTTGGCCACATTTCTGGGTAATATGACCCAGAGAGGTTGACACAATTAACTATTATGATATGAAGGAGCATTCTTATCATGAATAATGTACCAGCTCACTAAACATTTTTTAAAAAGACTTGAAAGAAGTTGAGACAGTGGAAAGCCTTATGTTTACAGTTGAACCGCGGTCTTCTAGGTAGTGAAACAGCAAGACCTGGTTATCCTGCAAGGTGAGCTGTGAAAGGACAGGAAATTGTCAGAGTCCCTTGTGTAGAGCAGCTTAATAAATATGTGTTAAATCTCTTAGGTAGAATCAAATAGAATGGTTAAGTGGTTAAGTAAATACTCAGGAGAAATTGGTCCAAACATGAGGACAGAGAAGACAAACTAGAGTGCTCTCTGTTGCCACTCAAGAATGGGGCTCACAGGCATATAACTTGCTCATCCATCAAGGTGATAAACACCAACTGCCGAATGGTTAGAAGACAATGGCTTGGATTCAGCCACTGCTGTCCCTTTTCAGAACCCCACTGGCCTTTAGGCACAGAAAGAAAGGAAAAAAAGAGTCTCAGCAAGCCCTTGAAAGAGAAAGGTGGCAATATTGAATAGGATTCATAAAGAAAAGAAAAATCTGTTTTCTCTGTTTTCTAAGAAATAGCCAGAATACACCAAAATATAGATAAAATACCCCAGCAGAAAATATTTAAATACATTTTTAAAAAGGTCTGGGTTCTGGGGAACAGAGGGAAATGGACTAGGGTGTCCATTGCTTGGGAATTTTGCAGTGCATTCCGAGAGGAGCCAGTCATTTTAAAGATTCATCTTCAGTCCAGAGTGGGTCACAAGTCCCTTTATACACAGCATCGGGATACACAGAGCCCAAGGGAAGGTGGTTTCCCACCTGGTCTTCTTTTCCTAAAGGAGCCACATGGGGCTGCTCCTGGGGCAGAGGGTGACATTAAGACATGCACTGATAACTGCTGGGTATACATGCTCCTCCTAGGTGCTGCGGGCATAGGAGATACGCCAGACTCGTTTCCTGTCTCCCTGCAGCTCACAGTCTAGTCTGAGGATCAGTTTCATATCCAGAGGGAATGGAAGGAGCTCTGCAGGGGTGTGGAAGAGATGGGGCACCACTGCCTGGAGGATTTTCAGATCCTCAGCCCTTTCTCATGACCCTGTCTCGTGCCTTAGGAGCAATCAGCTGACAACTCATGTGGATTTGACCTTGCCTGCATCTCTCACTTGCCAATGTTTCCTTGTCCCCGATTCTACTCTCTTATTCCACATCCTCACTGGTAAAAAAAATATTCCAACAGCCTCCCTGCCTTTACCTACAGTCTCTCCAGCCTGATGTTGGGATGGGTGTGGTGGCTGTCAGGCTGGGAGGACCAGGGGCTAGCCTAAAATGTCAATGCACGCATTCTTAGGATAGGTTCATACTGGATCTGCTGGTGAGCTGCCCCTCTACCAGAGTCTACAAAGTGAGCCCAGATTCAAGAATGACCGTACATATATGCAAATGAGGGACTTCATGATATCAGGAGATAAGTTGAACAAGAGGGTGAGAAAGAATGGATTGTTGGTCTCTTCCAGATTTAGGGATTAGTTGGTCCCCCAAAACTATTGGAACTCAGGGCATATTTTTCACAGGAAAATTTCAGGCTATTATCCTTGTGATCTGGCCTAAAAAGACTTTGGTCATTTAGCTAGGAAACTTGATTAATTGATTACTAAAGTTATTTTCAATGGGCTATAACTTGTTTAAATCCTGGAGCCTTCTTCTGCTCCTTAAAACCCTTCATGGGAAGTGGGGTGCATCTGATGGAGGGCAGGATGGAGAGTGCATTTGGAAGTCAGGGCCACTTAGGGCAAGGGATGACTTCTCCTGACCTTTCTCACATTTACCATGCTGTGTGGTGCCCAGCATGACCCTGTCTGGATGGGTAGATGCGTACTTTTGTATTTTTGCAAAGTGGGCGTTCTGAGCTGGGACTGCTTATTTCACTCCCTTAATCTTATGATTAAGAGTCGGTTTTGGTTCTCCTGCTGTATTAGCATAAATTCACACTTAACTTAAATTCAGCTTACTTAGGAATTTTTGAATGATTCCAACTCTTTAGCATTGTAATTTACAGAATTTTGGGCATTATGAAATCTTACTGTTTTAAATTTGATTTCACCATTTCTCTATCTTACAAAATGCTGACATAGAGCACGTATATATTTATATTCATTTTTTCTTTTTGTACTGGGGATTGAACCCAGGTTGCTTTACCACGGAGCCATAGCCCCAGTCCTTTTTATTTTTAATTTTAAGACAAGGTCTTGCTAAATTGCTGAGGGTCTCACTAAGTTGTTGAGTCTCAGTCTCCCCACTTGCTGAGGTTTCAGGCATGGGCCACCACACCTGGCTGTATTTATCATTTTTAAGGTGAATCAAGATTAAATTTGTTTTGAGTATTTAGGTACGATTTTGCAATAGTCCTTGAGTTAGCTAGCATTGCAAAAATCAAGTCTGTACTGGCTTTATGAGTGAAATGAATTATACTAATTAATCTGACATTTAGTTATCTTGTTCTTAAGAAATGTTAAAACCATTCTGGCAGTAATATTTAAATCCAGACTTCTTTCCATAAACCAGCCTATGAGATTCACTTCAATATGGCACACCAGAACAGACTCTACTAACTTCTTTCCCCTGAGTAATTCAAATTCTGCATTTCTCATTGTATTTAATACTTGTCAAAACCTCTAGGGAGATAAAAGGTAAATGCAGACAATTATTAATTGTTCAGTTAAAGTTCATTTCAGCCATCCATACCTAAACAAAAGAAAATAAATAAACTTGCTAGCCCACTCTTTTTCACTCTAATATTTTACCTCTTGCCATCTCTTCGTAGACCAACTTCTTGAACATGTGGCTTATTATTTCTGCCTCCACCAGATCCTATCCTGACATTTGTGGGGCCCAGAGTAAGAACAGAGAGGTGTGCACACCATATGACTGAATATATCTAGAAGATCAGGATCCAATTTAAAATGCTCAGCGTCCATGGAGTTCTGGGGAAGTGTGTGGTTTTTCAGGGGAGAGTTGGTACTGGGCCTCTGGCTCATAGCCTGCTGTCCTTAGTCTTCGCTTCTCTGATCCATTCCTCATCACAAGGGACTCAGTGCACACCTCCAAGGCTTGTCTTCACCTTTCCTCATCTTGCAGAGGACTATTCCTCCACTGTCCCTTGGACTAGGAAGACACACACCTGAGCTGTGATGTGCTTTCTGTGTGCCACGCTCAGGGAAGGGGCCTAGGAGTGAGCAAGGTGCATGGCGTTTGGGTCCTGGAGTGTCAGAATGGAGTCCGGAAGGAGGGGCAGGCTCCAGGTGGGTATGTCCTTTGGCCCTGAGCCCTAGAACTTCATGTGCCTGGGAAGATGTGACTGGAGGACAGTTGGGCAGAGAAAACTCCTCCTGCCCTATCGAAGGACACTGGGCTCCTGGTTCCCTTCTGACCCCAT